AATTATGGATATATTTTCCTACAAAAGACAAAGCTGCCACTTCTTATAATATTATACAGAAAAATGTGAGCGGTGCAGAAAGAGAGAAAAACACATCTGTAAGTGAAATTCGAACTCGCTCCGCGCTCCTTTGTTCATTAATGACGAACTGTCCACTACACTATTGTCGTGCTCTGAATCAGCTGTGTAATGATACGCAGTGATTTATGACCAAGGAACTGTACAAAAGTGTAAAAAACAGTTCAGTGCCAGGCATACTGTACAGTACAGATGGTCCTACACGCTACATTGCCACATTGTACAGTTGCCTTAAAGGGCCATGAAACCCCCTCGTTTCAGCAGGGTGTTTTCACACCTCTACTTTGGAAAAAGTCAGAAAAGTGGGCGTGTCCAGCTCTGTTTAGGGGGGAGTGTCGGAGGAACTAAAGTGGGATGGTGTGGGAGTGTCTATTTGGGCACGCGCGAGTTTCAGAGTCAAAATACACACACACACAGACAGGAGAAAGTGATGGTGTTTAACCTACATGGACATCTGTAGTCGAATTATTTGCTGAATTATTAAATGGTGGACTTTAACTGCAGTTTGGCTCTTTCATTCAGGGAATTCATTCATGCCCCTCGCGACAAACAAGATATTTGATTTGAGGAACTGCTCTAAGCGTGTATTTTTCATGCAATGTTTGATACCGCACGGCGAATGAGAGAAAAAAAAACTCTGCATTTCCCGGAAACTTAGATGCACACGGCAGGTAGTGTCAGAAAGCCGCGTGTGTTATTCCGGTCACAAAATGCGGTGCTAACATTTCTGCACTCAGTGCAATAGTTAACTTAATTCGATACGAACAAACTGAATAAACAAAGAGCGCTGGTCGCTCACTTACCAAATCTGTAGAGACAGAACAATCACCAGCAACTAGAGCCGCGTCTTTATGAACAGAATACTACAAGCAAATCCAAATTTCAGCGTTTGCAGATGAGAACAGCTCTCAGGTAAACAATAATCCTCCTTAGACACGTAAGTTATTGTTGTCGCGCGTCGCGTACACTGTTAATCCACACGTGATCCAGATAAGCTCTCACAGAGAGAAAATGAAAACGAAACTTAACAGCAGCAAACTATAAAAGCAACACTTCACGCTTGTTTTGCCAACACAACATGGCGTCTTTGTGGTGTAAACACGGTGACAATAATGAATATTAATGAAGTTGCACAATAGAGCGCGCTAATTGGTTTGACCCAAGCCTTACTCATGCATTAATGCATCACACTGTAAGACGTAATAAGACTCACTCAGGCACAGACGCCCAGTCTGCACGCTGGAATACACGCTATTATGTCATGACCGTGACGCAGCTTCAAAAATTCGTTTCAAACAGGAAGTACAAATTTGCTTGAAATAACGCAAAAACAACCAATTTACACTTTTTAGTGAAATATAGGTGTCCTAATAGTGTTTTTAGCAGTGTGGGACACATATACGACTGTCAACAGCTCAAAAAATGTGTTTTGGTGTTTCGTGACCCTTTAAAGGCCCTACATATACAAAGAGCTGCACTGAATGTTTTCTATGGTATGCGCAGACCTGCGGTTTGTCACATTTGATTTCAAAAGGTTTGTTAAAAAGATTAACAATTCTTTTGAAAATATACATTATAAATTTGGTTATGAAAAAAACTATGCACTTATAACCCTCTCACAACGAAAAAAAAACTTGTATCTGTGCTTCTACATCCATAAATATTCTCATCAAAAGAGCACGCAATGCTCAGTAAACTCTCTGAAACAAACGACATGCTCCGGAGCAGGTTATCTTCAGAGAGTAAGTTGCTATAGCTACTTAACATACCCAGAAGTTACCTCCGATTTTGGTACCAAAGCTGAGGTTATCCTTACTCTCAAACTTACCCGGGTATGTCACATAACCTGCTTTCTGGAACAGGCCCCTGGGGTCCGTTCTTCGTACCTCGCTTAAATGATCTAAGATGATTTGGCAGATCCTGGATCTTTTAATCTTGATAACTGATCTCTCGCTAATTTGGTTCTCCAAACAAGTTCGCGAATCAGATTAGAATGTCTGGATGAACTGATCTGAGATCGCTGCGTTTGTTGTTAAGGACAGATCTATCGATCCTCGAAATCATGATCAGCAATGCAACGATTGGCTGACGGCACAGCAGCGTAATGACATCATCTGATTAATATTCAATTATCCATGTGAGCTAAATTACATCAAATTAGCAGTAAACGGCTTGTTAAATATGACATGCAGTAACTTCACATTTGTTGTGAGCTGCAGGCTTTACACTTTCATTTGTCAAGACAAGAGTATTCATCATGTATTTCAATGCAAATCAATGTATTTAGTTCTTCATTTAGAAAATATTTTCTTTATTATAGTACAGTTTTTTAATCAGTGTAAAGAATAACTGGTTGTTTACAAAAGCATTTTGATATTGGTAAAGGCGTCTGCAACTTTTGTGAAGCATCACTGGCATATTAACTATCAAAACATGTTTATGACTGCATAAATGTATTATTGCTTTTAAAAAAAGTCACATATTGTGCATTTCTATTATACACAATTTGTACTAAAGCGATCTAAAAAGTTCATATCAATAAGTTTTCTCTTTGCACCACCAGGTGGCAGTCTTTGTATTTTCATTTTGAGGGTGCAGATTGCATACGTTTTATTAATATGTATAACTTTATTTATTTTATTAATAACTATAACTTTTATATATATAGTTAGAAAATATTTACTATTTTCCCAAGTGTATATAACTTTTACTGTAAGAAAATATCAGAATTCAGAACATACTTTCTGTATTATCTTTGCTTGAACTGAGCCGATCTAATCCTGTTTATATGATTTGAACCTGCTCCCGATCAGGTTTGACCTAGCAGATCTGTTGCCATGACAACAACTCTCGGATCAGCTTTGAAGAACGAAACGATCCTGGATCGTGTCAAATCGTCAATATCCAAATCCAGCTAACTGAGTAATCCACGTACGAAGAACGGACCCCTGGAAACCCGGGCTTCTGTTTGTTTTGATGCAGGAGTGCAATACCTAGTTCAACCACTGGGTGTCAAACTCACGTACTGCACATTTAAATAATAAAAAGCAATGTAGCAGAGACCCTTAAAAAATGTAAAACGTTTAACTCAACGGTGAAACATCAAAACATAGTTTAAAGATGTTATATAGTCAATCAAATGAACTTGAACAATTAAAAACATGCAACAAATATTTATTTGGGCATGAACTTCAAAAAAAAAATTATTAGTTTTGCTTAAGTTGCACAATCCCTTTATTATGTATAAATATAATTATAACTGTATTCTATAAATATTATTATAACTTTAGACCTACATCATGCTGATAATCAAAAACAAAATGACATGATATCACAGGCGATTTTCTTCTGACATACAGTAGAGTACCTAAAAAGACTTGAATGGCACTCCTTATAAGAACTTGAGAAGCATACAGTTTTAATTTAATTCAATTCATGTTTATTTCTATAGCGCTTTTACAATGTAGATTGTGTCAAAACAGCTTAATATAGCAGTTCTAGCAAATTGAAACTGTTTCTGTCCAGTTTTTAGAGTTCAGTTCAGTTCAGTTCAGTGTGGTTTAGAAATCTATCAATGCGCAGCTCCACAAGTTAAAATCCAAGGATGCCAGTGGTGAGAAAATGATCTGCATAATTTGTAAAATAAAGAGTTAAGGAAACAGCTCAGGAGGAAGTTGTCGCAGGCCTTGGAGCAGATGTAAAAATAAAAAGTGTACTTTAGTCCCCGTTTACACTAATGCGTTTTCGTTTTAAAATGCATAAGTTTTGCTACGGTTACGACATCCGTCCACACTACGCCGAAATATTCGAGCTCCGAAAACAGAGCTTTTTGGAAACGCTGAAGAGGCCGTTTTCATCCTCAAACGCTGCTGCTCCGTCCCAGTGTGGTTGAGGAAAACGGAGACATCTGAAAACGGAGGTTTACTCACTTATTTCACTCACTTAAGTCAACTAAAGATGTTGTTACACACAGCATTATAATCAATCATCAGCTAAGTGTGAACTCCTGAAACTAATGTCAATGTCAGCTTGTTTTATCCAGTGAACTAACGCCTGTGTTTTTGTACTAGCTCATTGAAGAAATCAAGTCAGTCTGGCTTTTTATTCCAGCTGTTATTCTTTGAGGCTTCCATTAATATTTCGATTAACATGTTTACGTTTTAGCTAAGCTTGAATACAAAAATAAGTGGATTGCATTGTTAAAATGAATGCACTCACATATTAGGTTATTCTAAGAGAGGGCTACACTGTAAAACTCAATAGTCAACTTTATTAAATGAAATTAGTGTAGTTAACTTTAAATTGACTGAAAGTTGCTTCTACTCATTTGAAAAGAGTTTTGAACTCAGTGTTGAAGGCAATGAGTTAATTAAATACCTCATTACTCCAACTTAAATGGAGTAAGTTTGAAGTACTCAAATAGATTCGCTTTTTAACTCAAATGGTTTGTAGCAATCAGTTTCCTCAAACGATTTGAGTTGCCTCAACTAATTGGGTTTTACAAAACTCAGTTGGTTTGAGTTCTCTTCATTTATTGGGTTTTACTGTGCTCAGATTGCTTCATTTACTCAAATGGATTAAGTTCACAGTACTCAATAGGATTAGCTTTTGAACTTAAATGGTTCGTTGCAATTGCTTTCCTCAAATAGTGTGAGTTACCTTAGCTTTTTGGGTTTTCAGTGTACATATTATTTTATATAAAAAATGACCTATCAGTTCTGACAGCTCATTCCTTTCTGTGCTTGTTTTACCTGTGATGTAAAAAAAAATGTAAAAAAAAAAGTTCTTTGACTATGAATGCTGCTTCTTCTTGACTGTAGAGAGCGCTGTCCTTGTAGATTGTGGAAATAAGGGTGTGCATTTGGTCCCATGGGGGAAGGGGGGCATATCTAAGATGACCTGGATCCCCCCTGCTTCGGTGACGGTTCCCTCTACACCGTCACCACTCAGTGTGCATTCTGAGTAACAGACTCAGGGTTTTATTTTTGGACTGCTATGGAGCCCGTGCCTTCCATTTGAAGGAAGGGGGAATAGTTGAACTCAACATGAGTCTCCCGTTCTGACAGTCTAAGCTGGGACAAGCAGGCAGCCGCCGGACACCCCTGAACAGCAGACACACAGGTATAAAAACCACTACAAAACACTGCTTAAAGTGTGATATTTCTGTCTGGTTATTATTATAAAAACGCCTAATTTGGGTGCGCGTACAATGTCTGTCTCTTGGGGAAAGGGTTAGCAGTTTGTTGCAAGCTAACGTGAGTCTTTGGAGGCTTTTGTTACAGGGAGGGAAATATAATGCTCTTACTACATTTAACGTTTACTTTATGTACGTATTTCTGTATGATGATGAATGAAATGCAAAATGAATCATGCATGTTTATGTTTATAGGGGATCCTGTCTGAAGTGTCTTCAACGGTCTTCTGTTATCTGGTGGTAAGTTAGTTATCTTTGTTTTTACACATGAAGGCAGAATACAGCATAAAGAATATGTCATTACATGTACAATGCCCTTTTTACCAGGTGGTTGCTAAGAAGCAATTATGCTGCGCATGATTTTACTGCTTTGCTATTCTTGCCCTTTCCTCTTTTGAACTTGTATCTTGGAAATTCTCCAAACTGCCCAGCCTACCAGTGCCTTAAAAGGAGGACCTCCTCTCATATGGTTCTGTGTGTCACTCTGGGCTGGAGGTTTCTTTTACAAGTTCCTACAGGTGGCCTACATTTACACTATTGAAAACACATTGTGTCCTATACAGATACAGAATCATTCGGTTTGCTTAGCATTTAACACTGTAAGCAAGTATTTGCATTGCATTTAATTTGTTTACTGCAAAAAATGCTTTTCTTAATTACATTTTTTGTCTCGTTTCTAGTCCAAATATTTAAGAATTCTTATGTCAAGAAGCTTTTTTCAGACAAGCAAAACACAATGTGTTGTTTTCAGAAATATTATGCCAAAATTTAATCAGTTTCTCCTTAAAACAAGCTAAATAATCTGCCAAAGGGGTAAGCAAAATAATAATGTTTTTCCTTTTGACATAAGATTATTTTTCTTACCCCATTAGCAGATTATTTAGCTTGTTTCAAGGAAAAACTAACCTCAATTTTGCATAATATTTCTTAAAACAAGACAGTATGTTTTTCTTGTCTTCAAAATTCTTCTTGATTAAAGAATTTCTAGATATTTTGACTAGAAACAAGACAAAAAAATCTAAGAAAAGTATTTTTCACAGTTTAGAAGTTGAATATTTAAAGACTGCTGAAAGAAGATGCATTTACTCATGAAGCAGAAGTCGCTAAAATTAATCAAGTCTATGCTTATTTTTGTTTTGATTCATATAACATCATGTATTCGCATGTTTTGTATCTGTATAATTTCATAAATGCGCCAGGTTTATGAGTGTTTCGGATGTTTAATAATCCAGAAATAAGATAGTTACTATCTATATAATATTACATATAATATTATTAATATTATAAATATTATAATATTTTTTTTATAGCTGGATAGATTACTAAACGTATAACTTCAAACCAATACAATAAAATAAATGATAAACAGCTCTGTGATATGTGATCTATGCTTGTGCGTCAACAGACACCATTGAATCTGATTGGTAGTAAATTTCCAGTGATTTATTATGCAATTTAATGTAGTTGCCCTGCCTATGTTTAAAGCAGCGGCTGCCTCCAGATCACTTGGCATTGGTTTACAGTGAGGGTGGAGAGTGGCACCACACTCTGTGGCTTGGAGCAGGTGACCTGCTCATTTGCTTTCACCCTAAAATTAGGCCAAGGAGCCACTCTAGACGTGTTGAAGAAATTTACTGCATTTCAACATGTCACACACGCACACACACAGACAAAAGTCAATAAAAATAATCATAAAAAATATCAAATTTATTGAAAATAACAAGCGGCAGTGGGCTATAATCACATTCTTATTATAACCATTCTCAGTACGGATCTGTAGAAAAAGCTTTTAAATGGACAAAAAAGGTTTATATTAATAATATAAATATGATAAATGGACTAATTCCAGTGTTTTCTTGAAAAAACAAAAAGTGTGGCTGATTACACAATACAATAAAGAACAAGAGCAGAGGAAATACAATTATATAACAGCACAAGTCAAAACAAAGATCGATAATGACTTACAATACAATGCAAGAATGACCAGAATCCAACACAGGCTCATTCTGAAGTCCCGTGGACGTTTCTAGAGACCGCGAATTATATAGACGAAGGCTGCATTTCATTTTTTTAATGACATGCAGCCAACGGGTCGGTATGACGTTGTTCCTTTTCGTGCTTACCGGCTGACAGATTACCTCTGTGTGGAGGACTTTCCCACTGCAGCCAGTTTGTCCAGTTAGCTCGTCGCGTACGTTGGCGGACTTGGGGAGTTGACGACAACGGCCGGATTCGAGTCCAGGGAAGAGCGGTTCATAAAAACACAATTCAAAAAATAAAATTAACAAGTAAATAACAGGGTGAAAATGTGGTAAAATCCGAAAACGTGGTAAAAAATGAGACCAGGGCATTTCTTTTTCTGGGCGGCTTTTGTAAACCGTCGGTTGGGTTTAGGAAAGTAAGTGGGTGGGCGGGTCAGTCGGTTAAATTGGTTTGATTTAGGGAAGGAGGAGGGTGGGTCAGTCGATTGGCCGGTCGACCAGTCAATCATTCAGTCGGTCGACTGTGGCCTCTGGTGGGCTTATGCAAGAACAGCATGGGAGCAAACGGCACTCACGAGAGACATTTGAGATCCGAAAAAGTGCACACAGCGGCCTCTTGCGGATTCGCAAAAACAAACACTGCAAAAATACGCACCGTTTTTCGTGGTCTCCAGAAACATCCACAGGACTACGTTTTCAGAATTAGCCTCAGTTGTCAGAATCAGACGCATGGATTTCTAATGTTTTGGCATGTTCTACTATTCATCAACTATTAAATTGTATCCAAGTCTATATAAATGTAAAAACAAATGGTCAAAGTATAAAAATAGGTCAATGGTCTCAAACTCAATTCCTAGAGGGCCACAACTCTGCACTGTTTTGCTCCAGCCCTGATCAAACACAGCTGATCCAACTAATGAAGGTGTTTGTGACTCTCTTGAACACCTCGATTTTTCGGATCAGCTGTGTTTGATAGGGTTGGAACTAAATCTGCGGCCCTCCAGGAACTAAATTTGACACCCATGGCATAGGTATTCAAAATAAAAACATGACAAAAATTGCTTTATCTTTTTGATATTCACATTCAGCTCAAACTAACATATATCGTTAAATATGAACATATTGGCACAAAAAAAAAATATTCTGAGAAAAAGAGAAACCACAAGTTTATATTCTGTGTAATTTGATCAGATATCTGACAATAAGTTTGTTTTTTTTACATTGTAAATGAGACAAACAAAAGAATACATCCTGTTTTTTTCATCAGAAATCAAAGACAGAAATACAAATACAATGCAATGCAATTGTTTCTTCCTTAATTGATTGAATCTATATGGTAATGTATGTTCTTTGTGAATCATGGTTTTGATGTATTCAATTCTTCACAAGTCATCGTTGGATAAATCACCTAAAAAAGAGGGGGGAAACAATATTAGTGTACACATTTGTTTTTGCAGATATACAGTTAAAGTCAGAATTATTAGCCCCTGTTTATTTTTTCCCCAATTTGTTTAACAAGGGGAGATTTTCTCAACACATTCCTAAACATAATAGTTTTAATAACTAATTTCTGATAACTGATTTATTTTAACTTTGCCATGATAATTACATAATCTTTGACTAGATATTTTTCAGGACACTTCTGTACAGCTTAAAGTGACATTTAAAGGCTTAACTAGGTTAATCAGGTTAACTAGGCAGGTTAAGGTACTTATTACGCAACTTATTGTATAATGATGGTTTGTTCTGTAGACTATCAAAAAATATCTTAAAGGGGCTAATAATTTTGACCTAAGAATGATGTTTAAAAAATTAAAAACAGCTTTTATTCTTGCCGAAATAAAAAAAGCAAAAAATATTATCAGACATACTGTGACAATTTCCTTGATCTGTTCAACATCATTTGGCAAAAAATTAAAAATAAAAGGTGGCTAATAATTCTGACTCCAACTGTATGTCAGTCATTATTGTCATGTTCAAAATACATAATGTCTGTTATTATTATTTGTTTCAGGAGGCTGAAGATTTAATGGCTGTCAATATCGGTAAGGCTGCCCAGGCAGGCCTGCTTTCCCAGCAGTACCCACCACCTTTGCTTCCCAAACCTGGAAAAGAAAATGTCCGGCTCCAGAAACTACAAAAAAAAACAGCAAAGAAAAAAGCTGCTGCCCAAGTCTTACAACCATCGGCGCCCTTCCGCTCAAGCCTCTCTCCAGTAAATGAAGCAAGCCCTGACCTGGAGCACAGCGATCACTCAACTCCTCCTAAGACTCCAGAGACACCTTTCTATATTAGCACGGTACACCCACGCTTCAACGTCCGACCACTATATCAGCATGTATCGTCTCCTTATCCTCATCACAGAGGATTCACTTTTGGCCAGACAACAAGATTTTCGCCACAACCACATGTGGCTCCTGGCCACACCACATACACAGCCTCGCCAGGAATTGACATACATATTACAGCTCCAATCACCGTTCTTCAAATTTCACAAAGAGCAGAAGTCGGCTCAGCTCTTATGACACATGTAATTACCTCTAAAACTCCAAGCCCTCAGCCAAATGTTCCTAGAGCAGCAAAACCGTTGTTTGAAGTCCCTCAAATCACCAATTACACTGCTAAGTCAGTACTTTTACAAATACCTTATACATCAACAACAAGGAGTAAAACACCTACTGCCGAGTTACTGAGAGGCCCAACACCAACATTTGAGGTTAGAAGAATAGTGACACCAACATCTGAAATTCGAGACCGAACGCCAACCAGGGAAATCAAAAAGGCTACAACACCTACTTTCGAAATCAAGCGGATTGCAACCCCAACTTCTGAAATTAAGAAAGCTCCAACTCCAACTTCTGAAATTAAGACAACTCCAACTCAAACTTCTGAAATTAAGACAACTCCAACTCAAACTTCTGAAATTAAGAAAGAGACGATTCCATCTTCTGAAATGAAAAGAGTCAGTACTTCTGCTTCAGGTATTACACAAAATGGAACAGAGACACTTGATGCAAAACAGGGTACAACTTCAACACTTGAGCCGAAAGGGATTACAACACCAGTAAGAGTAAAGACACCAACATATGACTTGATCTCAATAAGAACGCCCATGGGGCGACCCAAGACACCCTCAGATCATGTGTCACGTGTTAGAGTATCTGTGATTGAAATTTCACGACCAAATCCACTTTTATTTGCTGTATCTCCTGTGCATATGGAGGGCAGAAGATCCAAAACACCAACTTCAAGTGTGACTGGTCCACGTGATGAAATTATTAAAGTTTCAACTCAGGTTAATGGAACCAGTCATTCAGAAATTTATCAAAACGGGGACATAGATGCCAAATCAGTTGAACCCTTAAAAGAAAAACTGGATAAGGCCCTTTCAGAAAACCTGCCAAAACTTGAGTCATCTAAGCCGAAGAATCAAATACAGGAAAGCCCAAACCTTAATGGAAATGAGCGTCCAAAGCAGGAAACTCCAACAACACTCAACATTGAACCCACGCAAAGTCATTTCTCTTCAGTTGAGTATCAACGACCATTATCTAAAGTCCCTCCGTTTGCAGGTCAAAGACCCAAAACACCAACAGCACCTAAATCCAAACCAGCCTATTATGGATTGACACCTGCTGAATATGCAGCCCATGGAGGAATAAAGAGCTTCTCGCCCAGCTTTAGCATTTCTACACCAACTGTTCAACCAAGTGCAGAAGCAACTCACCTTCCCAAACAAGTACCAGTAGTACCTCAACCAGATGAAAATGTGACCACACCTAATAAAAACTCTGAAAAACAACAAGTCCAGCCACCTCAGACTGATGTTGTCAAACATAAAATCACTGAGGTGTCTTCACTTCTAGACATTTCTAACACTTTGGGGGACATTCCTAAGCAACCTGTGCCAGAGTTAAAAACAAAAAAGGCTGATGTTAAAATCCCAACTATTGTGGTATCTGTAGCTGACACGCCATCATCCGAAGCAAAAGCAGTGGCAGTGAGTACTGTGACTCCGAGGGTAAGAACTCCAACCTATGGGTCTCCCAGACTTTCCCAAATGACACCAGCCCTTCCAACTGTGAAGGAAACTACTAAAACTGAAAGTAAGGCTGTGGTGTTGTCTGACCAAGATGTGGACAAGCCAGCACTTTCAAAAGTGTCGGAAGGTAAAGTAAATGCCAAACCAACCAAAGAATCAGAGAAGCCAACAGAGGCAAAAATGTCTCTGTTAGAGAGAATTAAGAAGCAGAAACTTACATCTGCTTCTTCTGAAAAACCTCCCGAAAAGGTTGAGGTTAAAGATGTGGTTAAGCCTTTGGCTGAACCAAAAGACCAAAAGGACATTGAAACAAAGGATGCTCAACCTGAGAAGGTTGACAAAGTAGACACAAAAGCTAGTCCCCAAGAAGAGATCAAGCCTGCAGTGGAAAAGAAAGAGAAAGATGAAGCATCCTCTTTACCTGCAGAGTCTCTCTTGAAGGTGATGCAGAAACCAAAAGGAATGAAGTCAAAGCTCAGTGGCTGGTCTCGTCTTAAGAAACATATGGTGGTTGATGTAGAGGAGCCCAAGTTTCCAGAGACAGAGCCTGGGTCAGAGAAAGATGTCCCTGCCACCACTGATCAAAATGAAAAGCAAATGCAAAATAAGCCTGAAGACAAGGCTAAGCTTAGTGAGAGCCAGGACAGTAAAGACCCCCCTAGAGCAACGAAAATGTGGGATGCTGTCCTCTTTCAAATGTTCTCAACCGAAGAGAACATAATGCAACAAATAGAAGCAAGTAAAACCGAGGAGCAAAAGATTATGGAGGCAGAACAAAAGACACCAAAAGAGATTCCCACATTTGCACATCGCTTGCCTGTTCTCCTGTATAGCCCACGGTTTGATGCCAGACGACTGAGAGAAGCAGCTTCACGACCAGCAACAAAGATTGCAACAGTTTTTGAAATGGGACTTATAGGCCGCAAAAATAAAGATGAAGAACCCAAAGACTTTAATAGAACAGCTAAAGGCTTCAGTGGTTAAACCACTGACTTGACGAATAACATGAATACTTGTTGTTAGTTTTCAATTCATCGGTAGAGTTCTGTTTATAATCCAATCCAATTCTTTACTTCTAGCTTACACTTTTATAACTTTATAACAGATCAGTTGGCAAGTGAACTAAATAAACACTTTTCAAATGCACAATAACTAATTTGTACTATTGAAGCAATTGCCCAGTTGCCAATTGGCATTTAATTAGTTACTCAAAAGAATAAAAAATAAAGCAATTTTTTTTTGAAAGTTTTAAATTAAAGACATTTTGCTTAAGGATTTCAGATCTTGCCATTTTTTTATAAGCATGTTATGTATTGATATTTATAAACAATAATTAAATACTTAAAAAGAAAGACAATTCAGTGTAAAGAACTACACGGACTCAAGCTGCCACTAGACAAAATACAGAGAGAGTATTTTTGGCTATGAAAATGTCCAATATCTGGTGTTTTTAGGTATCCATAATATCAGGTTGCCTTTTGTTTTTTTTTATATAATGAAATACAAAATTTTCACTGAAAAAAATAAATCTACAGCCAGTATTTTAAAATGCTTACAGCCTAAAATGATGATAAAATGTAGATATTTTGAGAATAATCCATATAATTACATGAATGAAGGGTGTAGGAACAACTGAGTGTGGCCGAGCAAGTGAAACCAGATAAGAAAGAATAAAGAGACGGTATAAGAAAGACATGTAAACAGTAAGTATGATAAGAATTAAAATTTATGCTTTGCCTTATTAGTACTGAGCAAGGCATGGCGCATTCTGCAGACTGCAAACATGGTGCTCATTGTTGACAAACAGCTTTTACTGATGAAGCCCTAAACTTGGTTTTCCATTTCCATCGCTTTGATGTGATTAGATGAATGACAGTGACTGCTGATTGTCAACACATGCATGTTCTCATTTCAGGCTTAGGTAATGTTCAATTTTAGCCTTGGCCTTTTGGCATGTTTGTCTTTTGTTGCAGAAACTGTCAGAATGAAAATATCTTTTTTTCTTTCCTGACAGTGATGTGTATAATGCTTTGCATTATAAGTTCCCTGTACTAGATTAAATGTTATTTTATATATATTTTTTCTAATAAAACACTTGTTCTGAGTGACAATATCATTATTTTCTTTTATATTTGACCTTAAATTTACAGTTAAATACTGGTTAATCATTGCAAAACTTTCACAGAAAGGTACTGTATGTAAATATAACAGTAAATTACTGTGAGGTACTTCATGATTTGTAAATATTTTTAAATATCAAAAAAGTGTCGGAAATAGCATTACAGTTTTTATTTTTATTTCTATGTTGAATAAATTATTAATAGTGTTTGAATTCCTATACCTAATGTGGAAAAGTTATAGCCATTTTTTACAGTAACTTGCTGTAATCATGATGCCTGCCTTAATTTCACAAAAAAATCTTAATACGTAAAATTTAACAGTTAAATGCCGTAAAGTGACACTAATGTAATTTAATGTGAAAAATGACAGTAACCTGTTGTGAAAATTTGGGAATTTATAACAGTTTAAAATGAGTTCAACGTATAATAACCAGAGCAGTCTGATTCAAGTCAAAATAATGATTACCTTACAAATTGGGCATTATAGATTATTTCAGAAAAGTGTAATAAACAAAACGAATGATACATCTGATACTGAGATTTTACATGAATGGTGAATAAAATTTTGTTTCTCAAACAAAGCAATCATATGACTTTAGAATATATTAAATACACCACAGAACTCATCTGGATTGTTTTAATGCTATTTTATGTATTTATTTTTTTTTTATCTTAAAAGCTCTGGTCTCTATTAACTGTTAAGTACTGTAAATAGAAAAATAAATACAAAAGAAAGCAGGACAGTCTATAGAAGAACTCTTTTTGAGACTGAATCTCAAACAACATGAGGGCGAAACAATTAATTTGGAAGATTTGTTCGACATAAACCAGAGGCTTCTGAGTGACAATATGATTATTTATTTATATTATTCATATGACATTAACTGAATGGATATATTTGCATTGTGTTAGCAACTTGCTGTGGTTTGAGATACACAGTACAGCGTGCTTTAAAAATAGTGTCAGAGGCCTAAAACTTGCAGACTTCAAATCCATTGTAACTTGGAACTGTTATGTTGATTTAACTTAAGTTTTATAATAGCTCATTTACTTAATTTACTTCATTTACTAGTTTTAAGGCAACGTGTTTACTCACTTTTTAAAGTAAAATCAACTAATTACTTCTTACAGTGTATACAGTTAAATGAATTAGTTGAGTTTAAAATCTTTTTAGGCCTATCAGGGAACAAAGCTTGAACTTGTGAGGCGATGGATAACGTCACTTTATATATTTAAATATTTAGTATTATAAATATAGTCTTAGCTAGCCTGCTATAAAATTTGGTAACAAATTGTTAGCATGTATACATAAAACTCACTGCTTTTTTTGTTAAGCATTTTATTTTAGACTGTGTATTTATTCCAACACAATCTCACGGCAATTCGTAACTTTTTCATTTAGTGGCTAATTCGTACAAATTCGTACGATCTAATTCGTACATTTTAGTACGATTTGCGTATCCCCCAATGACGGTTGGGTTTTGGGGTGGGGTTAGGCACCACGCCTCCTTTTTAAAATCGTACATTTTCTTACGACTGAACTCGTACGAATTCGTACGAATTAGCCACTAAACTGCCAAAACGTAAAATACTTACGTTTTCTCGTGAGATCAAGCTGATTTATTCATGTAAATATTACAAGCACAAACTGAAATACCTGTTAATGTTTAATAGAAAAAGGTTTAAAAATGTAGTACATTATGTACAATAGAAGAAAGGATCTTACTTGATTTTCCATTTGGGTAAGCACTGTAGTGATCATCATCAGTGGGAATTTTTTCGTATTTCCCATGGCCTGTCACAACAAACTTGTACCGTTTACCCAAGGAGGATCCCTAAAAGGTAGGAGAAAGAACAGTGGAGGTGGTGTTAAGCAATGCATTCATCATTCCCCTATATGTTTATCAATATGTGTTTTAAAAATGATGACGCCAGAATATTCACCTTTCCTCCCAGACCCGATCTCTCAGCTGCAGAACCTTCTCCAATAATTTCCCACATGTTCTTTTTCCGCATAACACCTCCAGATTTAACATCCTGGAAATGGACATAAGAAAACATGCTTGAAAATCTCCCAAGTCTACGTCCATCACTCAACACATGATGTATCATAACCCTTTAAACTTGTTCCAAACCTACCTGTCTTTCTTTGTTCTATTAAAAACAAAATATGTTTTGAAGATTGCTGAAAAACCTCTAAACACTGACGTCAATACAAAACTGTTTTGTTACAGGTTTTCAGCTTTTTTTCCAGAATATCTCCTTTTAACAGAATAAATAAATTCAAAAAGGTTTGGAGCAATTTGAGGGTCAGTAAACATTAAGAAGATTTGGTAACACTTTATAATAACTACACACTATGAAACATTTATTAAGCAGTAGCATCTAGTGAATTCATTATTTGTTAACCGTTAACTCTACATTAATAAACGTTAGTAAGCAGTTCATAACTGAAGCTACAAATTCTGTATTCTTGACTTATTAGCACCTATTTAATGTGCTTAATAATTGTATTTTCATAGTTAAAGGTTCAGGACACCCTGGAGAACTTTTTATTTTATATTAACAGATTTGTGTGTGTTGAGCATCAGTTAAGACAATGTTAGCACCTGTCAGCTTTAATTGTGGGGAAAACTGGATAATTTTGAGCTTTTGTCAGCTAATTTCAGCTTCCGGGTTTAAAATGATTTTTGGGGCGGTATCAAAATCGGCGACGTAGCGCAGTACTGCAAGTGCAATGATGACGCGTCGGTTTCTCATTATTATTCGTAGCGGAGTTTTCTTATCCTATGAAAAGAGCCGGCTGCTTCATTATTCATGAGACCTGCCAGAGTCAAGCCCGAGCTGTGAGACACGTCACGGACCCACGGCACGGCCACACAGTATTTAGCCGTTCATGAAGGCTCATATGCGTTTGTTTCCATGATCCACGGGGTTTGTTGCATGTTTTCCCCCGCGATCTTGTCAGGGCCGATCAGCAAAGCTGTGTGTGTGCTGCTAGCATTTTTGTCGGGAGAGCAGCATGAGAATTAGAGAATGGCGGACGCTGTCTTTTATCAGGAGTTCGTTCACATTCAGACACATCGCCGTGCTGCTGTGTTTGCCTAATCCTCTATATTACCAGCAGGGCCAACAGTTAAAGTAGACAGGTCAGGAGACCTGCTGCACTGAGTCTGCTGGATACGGGGATTGAGGGAGAAGTCCTCATTTATAGGGTTTACATGAACACAATTATCTTTATAATGATATAAATTGTGGTTATGTGTATATGAAATTACGAATAACAAATGTAGCAGGGCATTAAATCACTGTTCATTTCTTTGCATTTTAACTTTGTAAACTATAAAGTCATGCGTCTCCTCACGGTTTGTCTCATTTTGTGAGCTAGCTTCATTGGCTCACGTTCTCCCCTGCTGGCCACGCCCACTCCTGCCCGATGCTCGCGGAGCTCCACGCCCTTAATCATGCATCTTTTGAAAAAAATCTGAAGTAGACTTTAACCGAAAGTGGGGGGTGTCATGGCCCTTTAATGATTTATTTTTCATTACTAAATTAAGTATCTCACAATTTACAAACCAGTTGTATTTAAGAGTAGTTAAGGGTTTTTAGGATAATTCAGAATGAGTTAGTAAATAATTAATAAACTATTGAAATCAACATTTATATATCTTATTATTCAGGCCTATACTAATAGTCAACTAATATGTCAACAAATGCTTTATTAACTCAACTTCATGCACTTTTGTGACCCAATCTAAAGTGAGGACTATTTATGCTTTATAAATCCTAATCAAATAAACAATAATCTTTGCAATCTTTTCTAAAAAGTCAAATTACTGTAAAAGTTAAACACTGCCAAATAACAGGAGTGTCAAAATACAACATAAAGCAACAAAAACAATATAATAATTTAACAATATAATAAGATGCAATGTTTAACCTCTACAGTGATTTTATTTTAGGTAAGGTTGCAAAGATTTAGTTTTCATTTGTAGTACAGTTTCATCTGTGTATCTTTAAATAAATAGGAATGAATAACGTCACTTTTCCTGTTTAGAGTTTAACTGAGCCTTTATTTGTCATTTATAGTGGATTTATAAAGCATGAATAGTCCTCACTTTAGATCAGGTCACAAAACTAGGTGAAGTTGAGTTGATAAAGCATTTATTAACATACATAGTAACCATTAATAAATGCCTGAATAATAAGACAAATAAATGTTGATTTCTGAATGATCCTAAAAACCCTCAACTACTCTTAAATACAACTGGTTTGTAAATTATGCGATACTTAATTTAGTAATGAAAAATAAATCATTTTCAAAGTATGAAAATACAATTATTAAGCACATTTTAAATGTGGTTATAAGTCAAGAATAGAGCATTTGTAGCTGCAGTTATAAACTGCTTACTAACGCTTATTAATGTAGAGTTAATGATTAACAGATAATGAATTCACTATTAGCTAATGCTTAATAAATAATTTATAGTGTGTAGTTATTATAAAGTGTTACCGAAGATTTTCATTTCGGGGTAGACAAACCCTTTATTAGTTCACTTACACTGTAAAATATTTGACCTTAAATTTACAGTAAATTACTGGATAATAATTGCAAAACTTTAACAGTAAGGTACTGTATGTAAATTAACAGTAAATTACTGTGAGGTGCTTCATAATTCTGTACATATTTTTAAATATCAAAAAAGTGCCTGTACTAGCATTAAAGTTATTGTGTTTTAATTTCTATGTTGAATAAATTATTAATAGTGTTCGAATTCCTATAACTAACGCTGTAATCATGATGCCAGCCTTAATTTAACAAAAAAATTCTGAATACCTACAATTTAACAGTTAAATCCTATAAAGTAATGTAATTTATTGTGAAAAATTGTTGTGAGATTCTGGGAATTTATTACAGTTTAAAATGAGTTCAACGTATAAGAAGCAGAGCAGTCTGATTTAAGTCAAAAGAATGATTACTTTACGATTTGGGCATTACAGATTATTTCAGAAAACTAAAATAAACAAAACAAATGATAAAGCTGATACTGAGATTTTACATGAATAGCAGTACAATCTTTGTTTCTCAAACAAAGCAATCATATGACTTTAGAATATATTAAATACATCACACAACTCATCTGGGTTATTTTAATGCTATTTTATGTATTTTTTTGTTCATCTTAAAAGCTTTTAAGAAAGCAGGACAGTCTATAGAAGCACTCTTTTTGAGACTGAATCTCAAACAACATGAGAGCGAGTAAATGATTTTGTAAGATTTGTTCGACATAAACCAGAGGCTTGTCACGATTAACTTTACCTAATTTTAAAGGTATGTAGAATCATTCAATAAGTGATTCAAAGATATGCAATCACGCAGCCCAATGATTTTCCTAAAAACAGACACAGGCAATGTTTTCTCTTAAAAACGCTTACGTTTGATAGAAACAATGTTCCTTACATCTGGAAATAATGAACTGAGGGTTTTTTTTTTTTCTTTAGACCTTAACCGCCAACATTGTAAACCACATACCCACATCACAGAACACTGCAGTTTATAGGGCATAGTGATTGATGAACTGGATTTTGCGAAAATGAAAAGGAAAGTTGCAGTAGATCATTCAGCCACAAGGTGGCACATTACATTAACCATTTGGTGATTTCACAGTGTATATGTTTTCAACTATATTTAAATACATGAATAATAATAATATTATTATTATTAATAATAATAATAATAATAATAATATACCTACATACTACTAATACACACAGTTTAAGTCAGAATTATTCTCCCCCCATTGATTTTTTTTTTAATATTTCCCAAATGATGTTTAACAGAGCAAGGAAATTTTCACAGTATTTCTGATAGTATTTTTTCCTTTGGAGAAAGTCTTTTTTCTTTTATTTCAACTAGAATAAAAGCAGTTTTTTAATTTTTTAGAAGCCATTTTAGGGTCAAAATTATCAGCCCCTTTAAGCTATATATTTTTTCGACAGTCTACAGAACAAAGCATCATTTTACAATTAATTTCCTAATTACCATAACCTGCCTAGTTAACCTAATTAACGCAGTTAAGCCTTTAAATGTCAATGTAAATATTTTTTACTGTCATCATTGCAAAGATAAAATAAATCAACTATTAGAAATGAGTTATTAAAAACGTTTGTTTAGAAATGTGCTGAAGAAATCTTCTCTCCGTTAAAAAGAAATTGGGGAAAAAAATAAACAGGGGGGCGAATAATTCAAGGGGGCTCATCTCTGGCCAGCTCTTTGGCTACTATTCAATCATTGCATGTTCATTAATAGACTTACAGATGGTGCAGAAGGGGAGTGTCTGTTCCCACCTTCCGGGCTTCCTTTCACCCAATGGTTGATCAGGTTTGCTACACCTACTTTCACACAGTCGGCATCCTAAAAATATAAATCCAAACATAAATAAATGAACACACATGTACACTGTAAACCCTAATGTTGTCTTTACTTAAACAGTCAAGTTAAGTTGACCAAACATTACTTAAAACTTTGCATTTTTGTCCTGTCACCTAAAATATGAGTTCATTTAACTTATGTACCATGAAAATGCATAAACTTAAGATTGTGAGAGTGTTCTGAGCTCAAAATCACAATTATTTCCTTTGAAAAGAGTACTTAGTTTGGTGAACTGCACATCAATCTTAGTACTTTATTAAACCAGCAAGTTAAATAAACTAAATTATTAAATTATAAGTTTTTGGGAGACTCAATTACTTAATTGAATTGAATCAACAAGTTTACTCAATTCATTTAGTTCAATCAACTTATAAAGGTTTTCAGTGTACTTCAAACTGTTTGTTAGTTGGGAAACTTTGCATTTTAAGCTCAGCCTAAGGACGTCTTTATTGTCCAGATAACTGAATCTTTGGAAAATGTATTGGTGTGCTGTCTAAATAAGATTTGATGTTTTGGATACCATCATTAAGAAGTTTAATTCCTAAATCATCTGCAAGTTGTTAAATTAACGCAAAAGTAGATTAACATATTTCAACGCACTCAGTTTTATTTATTTATTTTTTTACTCTGAATCAGTGACCAGGTTTTTTTTTCTATGCATATTTATTTTATTTCTTAGTTGAAAATATGTTGAATTAAACAATAATGTACCCAAAATAAAGTCAAGAAACCCCCAATATCTTTAAGAATTTTCTCAAAACGAAACAAAACAAAACAAAACAAAACAAAACGTCTTAGCTGTTGGAGTATGGTCTTTTCCTTAAGTTAAAAAAAAATAATTATGATGAATAATTATACATGAAGCCTTGTTTTCTGATTTAAAAAAGACCTTGTACTTAAAAGGTTGCACATATTAGAATTTTACAGTCAAGACTACATTTGTGAAAATGACCTATTTTTTCAAAGGGTTAGCTGTGATTTTGAGCTCATTACACTTGAAATCTTAAGTTTATGCATTTTCATGGTACATAAGTTACAATAACTCATATTTTAGGTGACAGGAACAAAATGCAAAATTTTAAGTAATGTTCAGTCAACTTTACTTAATTGTTTAAGACAACATTAGGGTTTTCAGTGCAGTCTTGACTCTAAAATTCGAATATGTGCAACCTTTAGTGCAAGGTCTTTTTTAAATCAGAAAACAAGGCTTCATGTATAATTATTCACCATAAAGGGAAGAAAAGGATACGTGTTTTTTTTTTAAATATTTTTTTCATAGTATATAATTATACACAGGGCGACGCAGTGGCGCAGTGGGTAGCACGTTCGCCTCAGAGCAAGAATGTCGCTGGGTTGCTGGTTCGATCCTCGGCTCAGTTGGCGGTTCTGTGTGGAGAGTACTCCGGGTTGTCTGGTTTCCCCAACACAATCTCACGGCAATTCGTAACTTTTTCATTTAGTGGCTAATTCGTACAAATTCGTACGATCTAATTCGTACATTTTAGTACGATTTGCGTATCCCCCAATGACGGTTGGGTTTAGGGGTGGGGTTAGGTGCCACGCCTCCTTTTTAAAATCGTACATTTTCTTACGACTGAACTCGTACGAATTAGCCACTAAACTGCCAAAACGTAAAATACTTACGTTTTCTCGTGAGATCAAGCTGGGTTTCCCCCACAGTCCAAAGACATGCGGTACAGGTGAACTGGGTAGGCTAAATTGTTCGTAGTGTATGAGTGTGTGTGTGGATGTTTCCGAGAGATGGGAAGGGCTGGAAGGGCATCCGCTGTGTAAAAACTTGCTGGATAAGTTGGCGGTTCATTCCGCTGTGACAACCCCGGATTAATAAAGGGACTAAGCCGACAAGAAAATGAATGAATGACTTACACACAGAGACACACACACTGAACTGAACAATTTCAGTATAATCTACCAAACTGGCAAGTTAAATAAACTTAAATATGCAAGTTTTGGGAGACTTGAGGCAGTTTACTCAATTACTTTCGTTCATTCAGCTTATTAGGGTTTTCAGTGTAGAACAATAGAATTTGTTTTTGGTATGTTTAGGTTCTTGCTTTACTGTATATGTGATCAGGCAGAATTCACAAAGCCATGATTGATCTGGCTGATATCTCCCAAGAATTCTTACTCAATAGCGTTCAACTGATGGATCTTTAAACGTGTCAGGCAAACTGATAGTGTGAGCGTGTTTGAATGAGAAAGTGTAAAGAACAGATGTTGTTCCACACTACATGACTACATGACCTATCTCACGCTGCTAACACTGGGGCCGCCTCGTGACCTCCATGCTTGCACAATCTGATACTCATTCAGAGTAATAATAGTGCCCTGACATCACTGTTTTCCTTCATAATGCTTAGAAGCATGCATGAAGGATTTCTTATTTGTTTGACATGTTTCAGACCCATTAACTTCGGTTCAGGCTTAAAATACCAGCCTGATCTAACGAGGAAATGTAAGTATTTTACGTTTTGTCAGTTTAGTGGCTAATTCGTAGGAATTCATACGAGTTCAGTCATACGAAATGTACGATATTAAAATGGAGGCGTGGCACCCAACCCCACCCCTAACCCCAACCATCATTTGGTGATGAGCAAATCGTAGTAAAAAGAGTGGAGTAACTATGACGTCAATCTGTATGCAAAAACTCAGAAGCGAGTTAGCATTTTAGCAGTTCCGGTTCCCTCGTCCCAAAGTCAATAGGTATTTTGAATGGGATTTCAGTTAAATCGCTTAAATAAAGTCCATGACTTATACAACCTCAAGATACTTTTACGTTTTGTTCTACAAACACATCAGTTACATTTCACTCTTGATTTTTAAATCGGCTATGCTTCTTTAAAAAGACAATTGCTATCAAGTTGCTAAATGGCACTACAGCCGGGGTCTGACACATTATACGTCATCGAGCTGAAGTGGTCTCGAGCTTGCGTTGGGCATTTGGATTTGTCTGTTATTTAAGTATTTTCATGAATAATATTTTATAGTTTGTAGTATTTTTCTAATTGGGAATTCATATTGTGTGTAGATAATGCCTTCAACTGTAAAGACTCTCAAGACAGATTCATTTGTTGATCGCTTATTTTAATTAAACGGTTTTATGTAGAAACTGCTTCCCAGTGCATTCTGTCTTTCATGCTCTCTGTAATGCAAACGTGTGAATAAATGGGTAAAAATACATATTAACTGTCATTTTAGCATGATCAAGTGATTTTTTGTTGTTTTTTTTCCTCATCTGAACACATCACAACTGCAATATTTACACTCCTCCATAAAATGTATAGCAAACGTGACTGTATGGGCTGCTTTTCGCTGTGTTTCGTGACCTAAAAAGAATATTGAATGTTGTTCTGTGTCCATGATGGAACTTGCAGGCATATAAACTTGTCCCTCACGCCTCATTTCTGTCGTCTGTTAAGGTAAGCGGGCTGTGTGCACGTGAGAGATACACTTATTTAAATATGTCGGTCACACTTTACAATAAGGTTCATTAGTTAATGTCAATTAATGCATTTACTAACATGAACAAACAATGAACAATACATTTACTACAGTGTTTGTTCATGTTAGTTAACGTTAGTTAAAGAAAATACAGTAGTTCATTGTTAGTTCATGTTAACTCATGGTGCATTAACTAATGTTAACAAGCATGGACTTGGATGCTAATAATGCATTAGTAAATGTTCAATTATGATTAATAAATGCTGTACATGTGTTTTTCATGATTAGTTCATGTTAGTAAATTCATTAACTAATGAACCTTATTGTAAAGTGTTACCAATATGTCTCATGATAATACTATGTAGGCACATTTATACATACAGTTTTAAAACTTTACAACAACCATAAAGCAAAACAAAATGTATTTCCTACATAAAACCGATCTAAAAGGCACGCAGGTCTATGTGTTTTGCGTATTTATTTGTTTATAATATATAGCATGGATTATAATATAATAAACGGAGAGATTAAGGGCTCTATTTTGACGGTCCATGCGCAGAGCGCAACACGCAGGACAGTTTTTTTAACAGAAAACTGTTAAACAGAGCATCTTCTGCGTGAGAATGAAAGATAATGGATCTACTTTCACATTCGCTCTTGGATAGGGAAACCTTTACGCACAGACATCAATTAGTCAATAAATAATTAATTTCGTTTGTTAAGTGCAAAGATTTGTTTCAAAACTATTTCTAAATTCAGTTCTAATTTCTAGCAAATGAATAAATGAACAATAATGACCAAGTTAGGTCAAAATACTGAGTTATTTCCAAATACACCTGCCATGTGGACAGGTAGGCAAATCTAAGCTTGTTTTTAATAAAACAAATATAAATATGGATATATTAAATAATACTGCTAATAATAATAACATTATACAAAAGCAAATTGTTATGAATGAACTGTAAAAGCCTCCCGAGATGAAGAAGACATAAAAGCAGTGATTTTTCATATTTATGTAGGCTAGAATAATATGTTTTGTAATATTTTAATCCTTTATATTTATATCCTATATCTATTCTTATTATATCCTATATATATCCTTAATATTTTTTTTTTTCATTTGTAAAGATATTTGCCTATTGCTCTCTTGTGCGTATTAAGCAGTGCGTAGGTGAGGCGCAACTCTGCGCCGGAGTTTAGACCTGGTTAGTTTTGGTCTAATGAAAAATCTATTATAGTTTCTCTAAATAGCAACGCACCAGCGGTCCGCCTCAGAACGCCTTCCTTTTTAGACCAGAAAGCCTATGGGCGCAAAATTGAGCGCTAATGCATTTGCTATTTAAACAGCGTAGCACAACGCCTCAAAACGACTCTTGCGCCAAGCTGAAACTACCAAAAGACTATTGCGCCGCGCCTTACGCCACACTGCGCTGGGTGTATGATAGGGCCCTAAATCTTTGTCATGGACCATATTTTTCAAAATAAGCTAGATAAGTCGTCTGTAGCAGGGTGGTGCTGACGTAACAGGCGAGCGCCCTGAAGTCACTGTAGTCCGTTTATAGCCTAATGTTAGCTTTTCAATTCTTGTGTTTGCATTTAACATCCAAAAGAGCTCAAAGTTGTATTTTCGTGTGAGGATTATCCGGCTGGACAAAACGTGTAAGTGTAATGAACAGTGTTTGAACACAGAGCTTATTATTAGCAATCTTCGAAAAGCCTATGGGAAAATACTATAGGGATTTTATCGAGGGAACCAGTTTGTATGCTAGCAGCCGATTAGCCTAGAAGGTGAAGTCATAGTTACTCCATTCTATTGTACGAATTAGATCATACGAATTCATAGGAATTAGCCACTAAATCAACAAGTTACACATTCTGTGAGATTGCGTTGAAAATACAGCATACGTCGACATTTCACCAGTTTTCAACTAAAGATAGTCAATGTCTTAGTCAATTTTGATACATATAGACAACATTTTTAGAGGCAAAAAATGTAAATGCAAACTTTTTTATTATTGTGTTTGTAGAAACAGCAAAAACATGATTGATTTTGGGAAAAATTTGTGAAAGATGTCAACACTTGCAGACTAACTGCATTCATGATATATTAATATTGTCAGATCATTGGGTCTGCATCAACAGGGATTGTTCATATATTTTTAGCACTTCGTTGTCCCAATAATACCCCAAATAGTCCACTTTTATAATGCTTGGATCTTTAAACTATCTACAAAAATGACCAATAAATGACTCCCAGAACACAAAGTTAAGTGAATGAAGACAAAGGTTTCACTGTGGGTGTGGGTCAAAAATGACCATCTCTGATTTCTGACCTTAGAAGGCATTCCCTTTAGGCTGGTTTGACTCCAGACTTCTCCTCCTTCAAACAGAGTTTTTTTGGAGGCCACCGGAGCGGAGACACAGGGCATGTCCACTGCTGCTGACTTAAGCGTCTTTGCTTCTTTAGAAGAGATCTGAAACATTTGATGATCAGGATCAGTGAATCAGAGGAATACATTGTTTTCAAGAAAATGCTGCGACTATAACAAGAGAATGTCTCTGGAGGCAGTAATGAAAAATGTAATAACTCTACATAAACCATCTAATCTGACTGCTGGCAGGGACAGACCTGAAAGCTTTAAATAAAACTTGAAGTTTTAAAGATTATTCTTAAACAAAGCGTTTGATACTTAACCCTTATGTCGTGTTCACATCCCGCCCCTTACTTTAGTGTTCCTGGTCAAGTTGACCGGTTTGTTTTAACATTTCACAGGGCAAAAAGTGTGCTTAATTACTCTACCATCGAGAATGTAACCAAAGTAAATTAACTTGTACTTGTGTAAAATTCCCAACTGATGACTTCTTCAACAGTTCCAAGTTATAACATGTCTACTAATGTTTTAAAGAAAATGTAATTAGTCACTTTTAAAGCAACAGGTTTATTCCCTCCTCTAAGTAGCTAAATTAATTTGACTAAATTAACTAATTACATTTTACTGTGCTGTGCATATTTTCACTCTACATGTATATACAGTACTAACACATAAAAGCACAACAAGTAGCAAGATGAAACTGAACCTCAATGGCATGTGTGTATTGTTCCAGCTTGTCATCAATCTTGGGCAGCAGTACAGGTCTCTGGGTCTTCTTGAAGCTGTTGCTGTTTTCAAAACAAATCATTTTGCTTATTGGACATCACTTTCAGTATTTAAAATAAAATTTAAGAGTTCACACTTAGCTGATGATTGATTGTAAAGCTTGTTCGGTATGCTGTCTCGGGAGAGAGCCCTGAGCTCATAAGGACCTCGAGCTCGGGGCTCCCTCCTGTTTGCAAGGCGAGAGGGGAGTTTGAGCTCAGGTAGATCTCGAAACTCCCCTGCTGTAGTAGCTAATGAACAGATAGGGATTGCTCTTATGAGATAACTACTTATTAGGAGCATGTCTATGGTGTCAATTTGGATAAGTTGCATGTTTTTAGATGGGAGGAAACCGGGGAACCCGGGGGAAACCCAAGTGAGTATGGGGAGAACGTGTAAACTCTGCACAGAAACCAGTGATGTTCTTGCTGTGAGGCAAAAGTGCTAACCACTGGGCTACCGTGTCACCCATCTAGGAAAGGAGGAGGAGCAGGGGTGGAAGGGGGGATTCTTCAAAACGAAAATGGCTGTTATATGAAACTTAGGGTATTTATAGTGGCTTAAGAATCGTCTGATTGGTGAATCATAAATTAATAGGGATGTAACGGTTTTGTAAATACCGTCATACTGCAATATTAATTTTTTTCGATATTACCGTAGTCGCATGACTCTGTAAAACTATAGGTCTTCTGAGAAAATTTGCTCAGGCGAATGAAGCGAATGGGAGGTAGCGAAAACTACAATTCCCATCAGCCCATGCTTGACCATCATCCCTTGCGGTCTGTTGTCCCTACAGATCCAGTAATGCGGAAATGGAGTGTGCTGCTAGAAGTGGGGATGAAAAAGAGCTGGAAAACTCTAAAGCGGGTGTTGTCGCCGCGCGCGTACTGAATAGCGGTGTTGTCGCGCGAGTTCTTATCAGCTGTGTTGTCGTGCGCGTACTGAATAGCGGTGTTGTCGCGCGAGTTCTTATCAGCTGTGTTGTCGCCGCGCGCATACTGAATAGCGGTGTTGTCGCGCGCGTACTGAATAGCGGTGTTGTCGCGCGAGTTCTTATCAGCTGTGTTGTCGCCGCGCGCATACTGAATAGCGGTGTTGTCGCGCGAGTTCTTATCAGCTGTGTTGTCGCCGCGCGCATACTGAATAGCGGTGTTGTCGCGCGCGTACTGAATAGCGGTGTTGTCGCGCAAGTTCTTATCAGCTGTGTTGTCGTGCGCGTACTGAATAGCGGTGTTGTCGCGCAAGTTCTTATCAGCTGTGTTGTCGCCGCACGCATACTGAATAGCGGTGTTGTCGCGCGCGTACTGAATAGCGGTGTTGTCGCGTGAGTTCTTATCAGCTTTGTTGTCGCCGCACGCGTACTGAATAGCGGTGTTGTCGCGTGAGTTCTTATCAGCTGTGTTGTCGCCGCACGCGTACTGAATAGCGGTGTTGTCGCGCGAGTTCTTATCAGCTGTGTTGTCGCGCGCGTACTGAATAGCGGTGTTGTCAGCACACTGTTCAGATTGATGCAGACATGAGACTCATGGTTTGTCCTCTCAAGTCGGGGAAAGACAATGCACAACGTTACCCACTGCTGTCAACCTGGGCCAAGTCATATCTCTCTTGTCCCAGAAACCTCAGTCCCAAATGAGAGGGTTTTTTTCTGTTGCAGGGGACATTGTGAATACCCAGAGATACCAGCTTTTACCAGATTATATTTATATGATAATTTTCCTTAAAACCCATCTCTATCTAAGTGAGTGAGTGAGTGATTAAATGTTGAATGTGATGAGTTTTCAACAATACTGAATTAAAACTTTATTTTTTTTACATGGTTTAATATTTTTTTGTAATTAAAATTGAAGTTCCTGTTTCAAAGCTTACAGATAGATGACTAATTTGTATGTCATTGACACTTTTGGCACTTTTTTGGAGTATTTTCATAAGTTTTGTTTTTTCCTGTAAATGATTCAATAAATACCGTACCGTGACATTCATACCGAGGTATTATCGTACCGTGAAATTCTGATACCGTTACATCCCTATAAATTAATATAATGCGGGACCGGCTGCAAGCAATCATAAGCATGTGATCCTCTCAAAATTAGTTTATAAATAAACTTCACTTAGTACGACATGCTGTGACTTCTACAAAAACTGAATATAAAAATATATTAAAATAAAAACTAATTACATAAAACACATCAAACTGTGATTTTCATAATATAAAAGCATGTTTATTCTTACATTTGAATACAGTACGTATGAATATATGATATATAGTAAAATAAAATATTGAAAATACTAATAATTAATTGTGTCCTGAGCTTTTTGTTTGAATATGGTGATAAGTCTTATTTTAATCCACAGCAATATCTCACTAGACAGTAAGAAAGCAGTAAAAGTATATACTCCACATCTGGTTAAAGTTTGTTGACCCATAAATCATAGCTGACAAGGTGATGGATTAACAAAGTATTACAACGACCCATTCCACCTATGTCAATATTTACTTTTAGACAACAGCCTTTTTGCCAGAATACTTTCAAGTTTTTATCAAGAATCTGCCATTTAATGTACAACAAAGTCTCAGAGGCCAAGAATGTCAAACAGATTTCACACATGCTCGTTCACTGTGCTTTATTAGTGTTTTATGTTGCTGAATGAACCCACCTCTTCTTTAAAGAGCGATTCAGGGATTCTGTCCTTTCAGTTATCTGGAATGTAAACAAGAAAATACTGTAAATATAACAAATATTAACAAAATGTTCGAAAACAAAGCTCAGCAATTTCATATTTTTATTACAATGTGTTTTAGCTACAATTTCCTGCTCCATTGAACCTCTGTGGCTGGATCTTTAAGTACAGAATTGAAGCAGTGTAAAATTAAAATAAGAGAAAAATGTCTAAGTATTATGAAGTTATTGTGATCACAATTATAAATAGTTGACTGCAGTGCATTTCATTTAACCCACTCCAAATACATCATAACACTGTAAAAAAATATTAACAAATCCTGGCTGCCCTAAATTTTACAGCTGAATCAAACAAATCCAAATCCATCCAAATAAAACCACTTACATAACTTATAAAATGAAGTTAGAATATGATTAATAGTAATAATAACAATAATACTAATAAATCCCTTACATTTATCTAGTGCTTTTCTGAGCAATCAAAGCGCTTTACACAATGGGGTGGGGGGGGGATCTCCTCGTCCACCACCAGTGTGCAGCATCCACCTGACGTGACAGCAGCCATTTTGCGCATGACCGCACATTGGTGGAGAGGAGACAGAATGATGAAGCCGATTATGAATGGGGAGGGTTAGGAGGCCATGGACAAAGGCCAGTGGGTAAATTTGGCCAGGATGCCAGGGTGAAAACCCTACTCTTTTTCGAAGGACATCCTGAGATTTAACAGCCACAGAGAGGTAGGACCTCGGTTAAACGTATCATCCGAAAGACGGCGCTCACTGAGCAGTATAGAGTCCCCGTCACTATACTGGGGTATTAGGACCCACACAGACCGCAGGTTGGGCGCCCCCTGCTGCCCTCACTAACACCACTTCAGGCAGCAACCTAGCTTTCCCATGTGGTCTCCCATCCAGGTACTAACCGGGCGCAGCCTTGCTTAGCTTCAGTGAGTGACCATGTGAGAGTTGCAGAGAGCTAGCTGCCGGCCTAACTTAGTTTAATAAGTTACAATGAACTAAAAACATATGCTGTCATGACTAATTGATCATATAATTGTTTACAGTGTGGACATTAGACTAAAAATAAACAAGTCCTTTAGGATTTGTACATTTGATCCACATGTTTGTTCCATTCCTGTCTTTTCTCACATCCTCAGACTGACAGTGTACATGTTAACAGGCTTCTGTTCCAGGCACACAAAAGGATCCCTTGTGTTGATGTTGAAACCTGCTGACTTTTTAACCTCTGCCTACTCAGAATGTACTTTCAACTGTCCATCAATCCTGTGCAAGCGCTGGAAAGGTTATGGTCCCCAAAACACAAACCTCAAAAAGCTCATCTAGTAAATTTGAATTCCAGTGAAAAAGTATCATGCTGGTGTATTTTTTTGTTCAGTCTATTATTATTAGCTCTTACATCTAGGATCACCTTAAAGGGATAGAAAACGGAAAATTCTGTCTTACTGTAATTTACTCACCCTCAAACCTCGAAACCTCAAACCTGTTTAAGATTTTTTTCTTTTCCAAAAAAAGGTGAAAACCTGCCACCATTGACTTCCATATTTTTTTCTTACTGAATTTTTTTTCTACTTGTTTTTTTACTAGATTATATATTTGGGGTGGATATAATATGTTACCATAGCATGCATACACATATAGACAAAATACAGACAAAATAATAATAAACTTTTGGAAACGCTTTCATTCATTCATTCATTTTCTTGTCGGCTTAGTCCCTTTATTAATCCGGAGTTGCCACAGCAGAATGAACCCCCAACTTATCCAGAAGGTTTTGCGCAGCGGATGCCCTTCCAGCCACAACCCATTTCTGGGAAACGCACACACTCATTCATACACACACTCATACACATTACGGACAATTTAGCTTACCCAATTCACCTGTACCGCATGTCTTTGGACTGTGGGGGAAACGGGAGCACCCGGAAGAAACCCATGCGAATGCAGGGAGAACATGCAAACTCCACACAGAAATACCAACTGAGCCGAGCCGAGGTTCGAACCAGCAACCTAGAGACCTATTTGACAGCACTACCTACTGCGCCACTGCATCGCCCTGGAAGTGCTTTAGTTTATGTAATTCAGATTTTTATATAATTCTTATAAAGTAATTTTATTCTACACGCCTAATCCTACTCAATACACTGTACAAAGTGATCCCTTACTAAAAAAGCGAATAAACCCATTATAACTTTGAACTGTTAAATTGACAGCATTTTTTTATAATTATGCACATAGTTAACTTACTTTATCTTTTTAAAGGTTCACGAAACCTTGAGATTTTAACAGATTTGTGTGTGAGTCGAGCATTGGTTAAGACAATGTTAGCACCTGTTAGCTGCAATTGTGGGGAAAACTGGATAATTTTGAGCTTTTGTCAGCTAATTTCAGCTTTCTGGTTTAAAATGGGATGGGATCAAAATCGGCGAAGTAGCGCAATACCACAAGTACAAAGATGACGCGTCGGTTTCTCATTATTATTCATATCCACTCACGGCACACAGTATTTAGCTGTTCATGAAGCATCATATGTGTTTGTTTCCATGATCCACGGGGTTTGTTGCATGTTTTTCCCCGCGATGCTGTCTGGGCCGATAGAGCAAAGCTGTTTGTGTGCAGCAAGCATTTTTGTAGGGAGAGCAGTACGAGAATTTGGAGAAAGGCGGACTTTGTCTTTTATCAGGAGTTCATTCACATTTAGACACATCACCGTGCTGCTGTGTTCACCTAAATCCTCCAGATTACCAGCAGGGCTAATGATTAAAATAGACAGGACAAGAGACCTGCTGCACTGAGTCTGCATTCAGACCAGGGGATTGAGGAAAAAGTCCTCATTTATAGTGTTTATATGAACACGATTATCTTTATAATGATATAAATTGTGGTTATCTGTATATGAAATTACGAATAACAAATGTAGCAGGGCATTAAATTACTGTTTATTTCTTTGCATTTTAACTTTGTAAACTATAAAATCATGCGTCTCCTCACGGTTGGTGTCTCATTTTGTAAGCTAACTGAAAACAGTTGTTCGCTCCCCTCCTTCTCCTTTGCTGACCACGCCCACTCCTGCCTCTGCTCGCGGAGCTCCACGCCCATTATAACGTATCTTTTGAAAATATTCTGAGATAGACCTGAAATGAAAGCGGGGGGTGTCATGAGCCTTTAAGGCAGTGGTGTCAAACTCAATTCCTGCACAGTTTAGTTCCAACCCTGCTCCAACACACTTACCTGTAGGTTTCAAACAAGCCTGAAGGACTCAAATAGTTTGATCAGGTGTGTTTAATTAGGGTTGGAACTAAACTGTGCAGAGCTGCGGCCCTTTTGGATAAGAGTTTGACACCTGTGCTTTAAGGCAACAGGTTTACTCTTTTTTTAAAGTCAGCTAATCACTTTAAACGCTAAATGTTTACTCACTTTTCATAGTCATCTAATTGCTTTTCCAACTACTTGCTTACTAACCATTTATAAGCAGATATTTAAGAGTCTGCTGAGCTAAAAGTAATAGCTAATGGTTTGTTAATAGTGAGAAAATAAAGCTGTAGCTTAAAATAAAGTGTGACCCAACTTCTTAAAACTGTTTTTGGAATACTCTTGAACTCTTGTGAGATATTGCACAATGACCAAGAATAAACACATCCTGTTGTTTGAGATGAAGATGTGTAAATCTGCTTTGTCCTCAAGAGCTTCCATAAAGGTTTAGGATGTTCAGATACAGTCACTTTCTTTTTCAAGTTCTTGTGATGTTTGAAACGTCTCATATTGTTATAGTACTTGTGTTTTCTTTTCTCAGATGTAAGTTTTGTACAATGTGAGAGCTATAAATTCCAGCTCTAGATTCTTGACCTATAGTTTGTGTTTAGACTGAGCCACTGAGGGGCTGAGTAAATTCGCTCTATTTATGTTGGTAAGATCTAACTAGAGACTGATCCTCTTTAGACAATAAAAAGTCTGCAGAACTTGTTTTTTTTTCTGCACAAATCTGATTGCCCTAATACTGGGTAGTTCCCAGAGTGTTCAAATGTTTGGTTGGTTTCTTAGTAGTTGCCATGCCACAAGTTTATTATTCCGTGGTGTAGTTTAGATTAAGGGTTTGTTTGTTTGTTTGTTTGTTTGTTGTGCAGGCTCTTCTGGTTATAAATTCTACCATTATAGGGGACCAATTATGCCATTTTGTCCATGTAAAATAAGTCTCTGATGTTCCTAGAGTGTATATGAGAAGTTTCATCTCAAAATACCCCACAAATATTTTAATAACTCTTTGAAACTGCCCCTTTTTTACCTAAATTGTGCCATTTTGGTGACTGTTACTTTAAATTTAAATGAGATTGTGCTCTTTTTAAAAAAAAAACAGAGCTTAAAACACCCACATGTCAGCATAGTGGCAGATTCAAAACAAGACTAAAGTTGTTTCTATGAAAAACTGAAAATGTAAAATATAAATGGCTTAGAAGAAGATATAAAAAATAGTGTTCATTTGTGCAACCTAAAACTTCACACTTCTAATCTATTAAGGCCCCGTTTACACTAGTGGGTTTTAGTTTTAAATTGGCGTTTAAGATAAAAAACGAGCCGCGTCCTCACTAGCATTTTACCTAGCATCTCTGAACATATCTCCGTCCACACTACGCCACCAAAAACGTATATCACGTGACCATTCGCGCACTCTGGGCATGCACGTTCTAGTATAAACAGAAAGCATGTGTCTCGCTCTGCATTTAGTTATTGTTAGTCAACAAATGCCGGTTGAACATTAAACGCGATGGCAAAGAAAGCAAGAGAGGTCTTTTTGTGGACAGACGACAAGGTAGAGTTGTTACTAACCGTAACAATTGAATAACTGCACTATGGCGCCTAAAACAGACAATAGTGCAAACAACGCTCCCATTTCTGTGCCTATGTTGTTGTTCACAGTACTGTCTTCCGGTAGCGTTAAAGTCATGTGTTATAGTCATGTGATAGAGGCTTGATGAATAAGGGAAGGATACAGTGACGAAGGCAATG